GATTTTAACTTTAAATTTAATGGGTATTTAACTAAATCTACTCTCTTTTCTTTTTTTTTTTAGTTTTAAAAAGCAAAGCTAACGATTTTTGTTGTTGTTAATGTTAGTGATTAATATAATAATGAATGCAATTGAAAATGATCTTTATTTAGAGGATAAGCAAAATTTTACATTAATATCTGAACTGTTAATAAAAATTAGATTTAATATTCGTTGTCCATCAACGAAGACAAAAATAAGCCCCCCCATAGTAAGTAAAAAAAACCTTGTTTTCATTGTCACAATTTTTTTGTGACCATAAAAAATAAGGTTTGTTTACTAATGATGAATGTTTTGAAAAAGAAATTGATTTAGTTATGTGAAATGAATAAATTTTAGTTTAGTTTAATTAAAGTTAATTTTTTTTTTTTTGCTTTTTCTTTTAAAATGTTTTATTTCTTTTCAAAAAGACTATTTTCATTTTTTAACAATTTTTTTTTAATATATTTTATTTTTATTCTTAGGATGCAGATCTCCTTTCAATTTTAAAATCGTTTTAGTTAATTACGTTATTGAAGCGTTTACTTTTTAAATTTCTCCAAGAATAATTTTATCAATGTCCGATATTCTAAATCTGTTAATTTAGAAAAAAAAAAACAAAAAAACTTATTGACTTCACAATCATTACAAAAAAAAATGATCGATTCTATATTCACCTTTGTAAAAATTGATCATTTAAAAAATCTGTTTGGTTTTTTAAAAATTTAACTTAAGGGAAAATTAAGTTCCCTCTTGTACACATTATTTAATAAACAAAATTTCTTTGACTTTGCTGAATAACAGAAATTATCTTTCGAATGTAAGAAAATGAAAATTTTAAAAAAATCAAGATAAATGATTTGAATTCTTGATAAAAATGTTGATTTCTTTTGGTTGGTGGATAGCAAGATATCAGTTTTCTTAAATAAATTCTTCTCTCTGTCATGAACATCACAAATTACTATCAACCTAAAAAGAGGTATGTCCATCGATTGAGGTGTAATAGAATTTCAAATTTTCTTGCGTACCAAAAACTAATTTACTTCCCTTTAATTTTTCTCTTGTTCCTTTCTTAACTAACCTCATATTCCGAGCCATGATTTTGATTTGAAAAAGTGCGTCCGATATGAATTTAATTATTATTTTAACGTTTTGTTTTTTTTTTCGTAAATGAAAACTGAAATTACGGGGTGGGTTAAAAAAAAAAAAAACTCACGGTGAGCAGAAAAAATGTCATTGTTTCGCCTTCTGGGGACATTTTTCCTTCCACATTCCTTCATAGGATGGGACTGGGAGTGATTCTTAGCGTGTGCCACTTTTGATGGTATCTTTTTCTTTTTAAGCTAAGCGCTATTTTTCGTATTAGTTTCTTAATGGTTTCTGCACAACTTAATTACCACACGAGGGTTCATAACATAAAGCTAGGTAATTAATTAAAAAAACTTATTAATTACCTAGCTTCAAAGGTAATAATAGTATACAGAAAATTGATTTGAAACGCTAACCTTACCAGTATAGCTTATTTTCAGTGGCTGAAAATATAAGTTTTGCTTAATATTCGAGTGGGGTGGTTAACGGTTTCAAATTGACCCCCGCCCCTACCATATCTCTATATAACGAAATGATGCTCGGTGATCCTTTTCTTTTTTTTTTTAAATTCAAAAAATTTCGGCAGGTGATATTTTGAGCCAACCGAAAATAAAATAAAAAAGTTTTTCCGATAAAAAATATGTTCATTAGTAAAATGTCTTTCCTGTAGTGACTTTTTTTTTTTTTTTTTTAAGTATGTGGCATATCAAGGAAAAGTAAATAAATGCTTGTTTATAATTATTAAGAAAAACAAAAATAGATTTTTTTTGTGCTTTCACAAAAAACATTTTTATATTCACATTTTTTAAATAATTATCATTAGACTAGTATTTTAAAAACTTTGTAAGGTATGCGTACCATTTTTCATAAAAGCAAAATCTTTACATTATTTAATTTTGATGAGATAATTTAAAAATATCCTCAATCCAGGTCATTGATGGGGAATTATTCTCTAAAATCTTTTTTATTTTTATTTTACTGATATGACATTGATTATAAATGTTTTAGTATGACATCCATCATTCACTACCATATAGGAGGATTGATATTTCATAAAAATTCAGAACTTTTTTCTTTGTTTTTAATGAAATTTTCCAGTTTTCTAATACTGTTGTATACTTGCTTCCTTTCGACATCTCTAATTTGTAGCTCATATCTTGGGCTGTTCATTGTGTTAACGACTATACATTCTGTCTTCTTAAAATTGATAGTTAGTCCTTTCTTCTTGCTTTCTTTTACTACCTTGTCAAAAAGTTCCTATAGTTTACTCTCTGTCTAAATCCAGTGAGAAGATGTATCCTTGTCTTACACTCTTTTGTCTTTTTTTTTTTTTTGTATTTGCTCAATTCATTTTCTATCTGCCTGCATACGGTTTGTTCCCAGTAAATTTCATGGCTTAATCTGATATCTTATCCAAATAAAACGAGTTTTCCTATCAGTTCAAATAAATATTTGTGTTGTACCTTACATATATGAAATACTTTTGCATAGTCTATGAAGCATTGGTATACATCCTTCTGCATTTGTACTGTTTATTGCAATTCCATTCTGATTCCATACATATGCTATTCTTTCTTCAACCCATTCAATTAAAATCTTTGTTGCTTCATATGCATTTAAATATAAATGCAGTCCAGTACTTCTCTCTATTTATTTATGTGTGTTTGTGTTTAAGCAAGCTTAAAAGCTTCCCTATCGGGTGTCATTTAAGCTATCTCCTGTGGAGGACTCTTAATTAGGCCTTCATCAAAATAGGTAGGGAGGAGTAGATGTGATAGACAACAATAAACTACAAAACTCAAAATTGATTGCTGCAATTAAGTATTGCATTAATATTTAAGCTTACCTTTCAAAAGTTCAATTATAATCTTCTGCCACCACTTAATTTAAAGACAGTTTGATGTATGCAGATCCTTACTTTCCATACAAACAATTATTTTTATTTCATAGGTTATTTTTACTGGAATTTGCAATTAATTTTGATTATTCCCAAATTTATTTCCAAGCTATAAAAATTGTTATTGAACCAAAAAGTTTGTCACAAAAAATTGCTGAAAACAGTTGCAGTAATGAAAACTCAGGATCCAGAATGTTTTTAATTAATTTGCTCATGAAGTTGTACTGACCCCAAAATGGAATATGGCCTCTAGGAGTAAAATTGAAAAGGTGTGATACACTGACATTCACATTATTATTAATCAGTATAAAAATAAGTAGACACAATGTCTATATTATTCAATCACACACACACACACACGTGTGTGTGTATTTTATTGAATAATATAGACATATTGTGTCTACTAATTTTTATACTGATCAGTTTCATGATAAGATCCTAGAATGGGCCATAGTTTTTCTAACCCACATTGTCTACTATAATTGTCCAGCACCTCATTATAGACTATCAATGAAGGACAATTTATTTTACTTATTCACTTTATTATACAAGAGGGGCTGCTGTGATAGTATCAGTTCTAGGGAGTAGCAGAAAGAAAACGGGGGGGGGTCACCTTAGCATTTCACCATGTGTTGGCTAGCCTCTGGGGTTGGTGGCATGTTGACTCTTTAAAATTCCTTTTGGCTTATGGCTATATCACAATGAAACTGGTTTTTATACAATCCCTAAAGTTAAGGAATAAAGCTTAGGAATATCAGGTGGTGTAATTGAGAATGGCTAGAAATCAGGAATTTGAGAGCCAAGTTTAAATTCCAGTCAGGTTATATTCACTTATAGACAAATACATTTAGGAAAGGTATGAATCCACTTCTTCTCCCTCAGCTATGGGTTAATTAATAGGGTTTGTATCGGTTAATCATTATTATCTCCAATAAATTCTTACATTCTAAAAAAAATTGGTAGGCCTTAAAAAAAAATCAGTCAATCTTTTCAATTCTTGTGAACATCTCGTCTTCATGTTGTTTTAGTCTTTCAGACAACGACACTCCATTACTGCCAGAATTCCACACTAGCATGTACCATCCTAGGCCAGCTTCTCCATCCTATAGCACATGCCAAGTGATGAACTAGCTTGGAATTGTGTCCTCTTGGGTCAATATATCCAGTCAGTTTGCCTGTCTTGCTATACCTTTTAGCTACAGAGATAACATCTGGTTAGCAAAGTCAAATTACTGTTTTTAAACAAATAAATTTCCCATGATCCTTCTTTGCTAGCCAGATGCTTCCTCTGTAGCTAAATGGTATTGACAGTTCCATGTAGGATACAGGTTCAATTTCTATCGGATGTTTTCTAGGAAATTTCTCAGACATTCAGGCCGGTAAATGTAATTAATACTGCTTATATATAAACAGCATTTACTTAAATAATGGTATCTATAAAAGTAACATATGAGCAGAAAATATGTTAAAATAATTGTCAGGCTCAATCTATTTCATTTTATATATATATATATATATATATATATATATATATATATATATATATATACACACACACACACTCTCTCTCAATGACAATAGCCGTATCATTTCAGAAATTAGACTTGAACTAATTGGAATTTAGTTTTTTATTTGTATATTCATTTTAAGTTTTCTTAACCCACTATCTCTGCACTAATTTGGTGAGGACAGACAATACACCAAAATAGGCTAGGCATATATTAATCACAGCTGACTCTTAGATCATTGCACTTTCAATGCATCTGAGTAAATTATATTCATTTTTTTTAAATTTTTTTAATTAAAACAGAATTTTCCAAGTCAAAATCCAGATCCCAGAGATCCCATTGATATAGAAATGCATTGAGTGTTTTTTAATTTTATGTTTTTTCTCAAAGGCTTTTCAAATTGTGATATGATATTTACCCTTGGTTATTCTGCTTGATTTCAATTTAAAAAAAAAAATTGTTTTTCTTTACAGAATTAAATAATCAAAATGCCAAAAGCTAAAAGGGTAAGTTGGCTTCTTTTTTTCTTCTTCTTTGCCTATAACATAAAAGAAATGGAATTTGAATTCTCAAAATATTTAACTTCAATGGTAGACTTAATTTGACATCTATGAAAGAGATACTGTACATACTTGCATAACATGCAACCCCCAAATTTTCAATTATAAAAAAGGATTTTTATCACGTGTCTTGTGTCATGCAAGTTCCTTTTTTAAGAGACCAAATTACAATAGACATCTTTTCCTCCATCTCTTTATCCTATCTTCTAGTTAAATAAGTTAAAATAGTAAAAGAGAATGATAAAAGTATTGTTAGTAACACTATACTCGTTGCATAAATGCATACAGCCTTAAACAACTGAACAGGAAACAGCTAAACATCTTATAAACAATAGAAAAGATGCATTTTCACTAATTATATTTTATAATACAATACTAATATGTGAATATTACAAGCATTATTGACACAGTTAATTAAAACATCATTTTTATCAAAATCATGTTTCTTTTTACTTTTTGACTACAGTAAATGGATATATAGTGTAGTCAACAGTGTAGCAAGGACCAGCAGTACCTATGCTAATTTTATATCTCATGTATGATGTAATCCCTTTAAAATTAGATTCAAAATTAGGTCTTCAAAAGTTGCATGGTATGTGAGTATATACAGTAAATGATATATTTTGGTCATCATCAAAATTATTGCTTATCAATCTTTTGTTGTTAACTATGAGTATAACAAACAATGAATAATACTTTAGATTCTGTTGTTTAAACTAATGCTCCTATCCTGGTTTGTTTTATTACTTAATTACTTTACACTATTGTTCACTTAATACATAGCCCAAGAGCTACTCACGGTAGAGGGTTACTGAATGAAGTCACTGTAAAGGGAGGAAGTGGGCGCATATGGAGATACGTAGGATAGATAACAGTTGACTGCAGAGTGCATCAGTTGGGGAAGCAACCTCTCAGGAGGTTTATTTTTACAATATATTTTATAGACATGCTTATGACTCTGTGATGTGCTCAACAAGAATTACTCTCTATAGTACAATAGCTTTAATTTTTTTTCTCTCTCTCTCTCAAAATCTTTTCTTACACACTTTGATTATAAGCTAATAAAAGGAGTGTAAGAATTAAATTTAAAATACAGAAATTGGCTAATTTAATATTAAAAGGTGTAAATAAGAAAGTGTTAAAATTTATCAGAAGTAAAAGTATTGTGATCTTTTGAATAAAAAAAGAAACCTATTTAATGCATGTTTCTCAGTTAAATTTGAAATGGTGCATTTTGGTACTTGGAATGGATGTCATGTTGAAAAACTGGTCGATTTCTGAATTTTTTGTCTTCTATGATAGCAGGAGGTTGAAAATCCTACTTTGTTAGTATAAACTGTTACTTTGTAAGCAAGATTATTGCTGGGATTTTTTTCTGTTGGGATCTCTAATATGCAAAATTTTGTCATAATTTTAATTCAAAACCTATTTTAAATGACAGTGGCTTTCCCTGTGTGTGTGTGTGTGTGTGTGTGTGTTCTCTTGTAACCTTTATCCTATTCATGCATTCCTGCTTAAGATCCACTACTACAATAGTAATGGCTGGCCTGCACTGATAGTGTCTTTATCTTTTAACAACCACAGTTTAGTCTTGTACAAGGTCACAAGTGATGATCAAATGTCTATAGCAATTATAGTCTAACGCATTAGTTTCTTTAGGGGTGTCCAATAAGTTTGTTTATAGATTTATGATTATATCATTCAATGTCTCTTGTTCATATCATACTTGTACACAAACAGTTCTTTATTCTCCTTAAAGGGTAACCTACCTTATGGGAGAAATCTAATTCTGTTTTGAACACTTGCTTTTATGTTTATATTCCTTTGTCTTGATTGAATAACATAATTGTCATTCTCTGACCCTTTTTTTTTTTTTTTTTTTTTTTTTCTCCCCCTCACCTCACACACTCTTTTCAGGAAACTCGTGCAAGGTCAAAGTCGAGATCAAGCTCGAGAAGTCGAAGCAGTAGCCGGAGTCGTAGTACAAAAAAGAATTCCATCCCGGTGACACCCACTGCTGTCACGCCACCCAGATCTCCTGAGCACTTGAAATCTTCAACCCAGTCCAAATCTACAGGTCGATCAAAATCTCCAGCTCGGTCAAAGTCTCCAGCCCGGTCAAAATCCCCAACTCGGTCAAAGTCTCCAGCCCGTTCACTTCCCAAGAAAAGCAAAGTCAAGGCTGAACCGACTCCCCCTACAAGGATATCAAGTCGAATTGCCGCAATGGTAAGTTTTTTTTTTTTTAAAAAAAAAAACATTTTTATTGCAACAATGTTGTAAAAATTCAAAATTTTCAAGTGTAGTAGAACTCCAAACATAAAATGCTACACAAAATGTGTCACATAACCAGGTTTGCATTCAGTTGTTTTAACCTTCTACGCTTAGATTTCTTCACTGCTTTCAACTGACTTGTATGACATGAATTATTGAAACCAGATGTAGTTTTTCTCATGTCAAACTATTAAAAGATAAATCACGTTTGTGTTTTTGAAATTGATGACCATTCACTTTGTGTGTGTGTACATCAGTTTCAGTCCTTGAAACTTCTTAACATAGTCCTGGAATTTTTTTTTTTTTTTTTTTTTACAGATCTGTGGGAACCCTGATAGCAACATTCATAGAATGTATGTTCTGCATTCTAGCTACCATCGTTTTCTACAGCATATCAACTCTTTGCAGGTTATTCAAAGCTAGGAAAATATTTTAAGAGTGTAAAAAAAATTTTTTTTTTTTTTTTATAGATAATAATGCTTTGGGGATACAAGTTTTAGTTGGTGGGGGAAGAGATAGATTCATGCCTTTCAGAAACCCTTGTCTACAAGTGAATATAATGGCACCTTGTATTCTCGTAAAAAGTCCTGAATAGGAGGATTTGTTGTGTGGACTTAATGGCATCAGTTTATGGAAAATATACTTGTCTAAATATATTATTTAGACAGATGTCTTTTCTTTTGTGTGCACAGTAATTTAATTTGATTTAATTTATTTACCTTGATCAAGTTCAGCTGCTTGCTCCTATATTCATACAAACTACTGTAATTATGGTTTTTTCTTTGTCAGGTCTTAAGTTCTTTTTTATAACTAATGAAATTTTCTACCACTTGTATGTAACGAACTCGAACTCGCTCACTTGCTGGAGATTATCTCCCTTGATATATATATAAAAAAAAAAATACTCTCCTGGTCTAAACTACTATAAATCATAACTGAATAAAGCTTCCTGAGCTACACAGTTCTCCTGTGTACTTATTGCACAAGTTAAGATTTTCTGTTGTGAAAAAATTAATATTTATTGACTTGGAATGATAATTTATTTGTCTTATTAGAATTTATTCAAGTTATTTTTTTTTTTTAAACTCCTCAGGCTGATTCTGTACTGTTTCCTCTGTATGGAATCATTACAGTTTTGCTATCTTCGTTTATTAAACTGAAGTTGTGATATGGATTAAGGAGGGTATCCGTTTATCTTATGAAATAACAGTAGTGTCCTGCTTGGTAAGAAAAATTCAATAATTTTGTGAGCAGTATCTGACATTGTAAAATACTATCTCCCATGTACTCATTGGGAGGTGAAACTAAAGTGACCTTTCCAGGGGCTTGTACAGTGGTATATAGTGGCTGTGTGCTGCCTCTGACATAGTCATACCAATATAATACAAAGGAATATGGGGTATTATATCTTGGGGTGCGCTTGACTGCAAGAGTTGCGGGAAATTTATAAAGAAATATTGAATTACCAAATACTTTGTAATAAGTAAAATGTGATTTATATTTAACATTTTTGTTTTTGATGTTGTTTTGCATTTCTTAATATTTTGTATCTCTCTCTCTCTGATTCACTAATTAACAAACCCCATTTTCCTTTCATGTGTTTTGATCTAATGGACTGAAAAAAGAAGTTTTATTACCTTTCAGGAGGAGGAAAAGAAAATTGTGGACACGAAGGAGATACTACTAAAGTCTGTTATAGAGACGAAGGTTCTTGAAGAAAAGAAAATATTTGAAGACAAAAAATTTGAAGATGAGAAGAAAGTACGCAAGACAAGCAAAAAGGAATTTGGGGGCACCATTGGTGTGCTCTTTTTCATGGTCACACTACCTGCCATTGTTTTCACCCTCATTCAAATGTGTCACAAGGTAACTTCTTGTATACCTTTATTTATAAGCCAAGTGTATATTTTTTTTGCCTAACATCTGTAACTTTTGTTGGGTTGTACAGGGATTTTTTTATTTTTAAGTAATCCAGATCAATAGTGTCATATATATATATATATATATATATATATATATATATATATATATATATACATACATGCATACATACATACAAGTAAAGGATTGGTGTATACAGAATAAATTCCAATAACCAACGATTACTATTCTTAAAATATAGAGTAGAGCAAATATAATTCAACATCATCACTTGATAAGACACCAGAAGTGTGGAAACAAAATGGTTATTTTTGTAGTGATTTTATAACATATTTATGTTATAATTTTCAAATAAACAATTTATATATATATATATATATTCTTTGCTATAATCAACCAACAGCAATGGTTCTCTCTCTCAGCGGGGAAATTCACTTGATAAAGATTTTATTAAATCCAAAACATTAGATTTGTATCTTGAATTGTTTTTTTAATAGTTTCAGACAATCTTAAAATTGAGCTGCATTTTACTAAATGAGGCTTTCAATGAAATTCTGACACTTTTTTTATTTGTATAAGGACCTGGAAATGGCTGAAATGCAAAAAGATGCTTTCCACTTTCAGAGCTTCTCATTTACAAAGTATGTTCAATACAGCATCCAAATTAGATTTCCTGAAAAAATAAATGCATCCTCACCTTCTGTTAAACACCTAAAAGTAATTTATCCCCATTTTTATTTTGCTGTAAGGTAATTGTTACTTCTCTCTTCCAAAATTTGCACGTGTTTGAGAGATTTTTGTATCCACAGGTGTTTTTGTAAATGGAGCTGAAAATGAACTTTAATTCACTTCATTCTTTCATTTTAGGACAAGTGCAGCATTTGGACTGTGCCAAAGATACCAAAGAACTGGAAATATTACCTTGACCCCAAGGCTGGTGCTATTGTTGTTGGATGGTTTATCCTGCAGGCACTCCTTGCTGTTCTTCCATTTGGCAAAGTTGTTGAGGGTCAACCTTTGGTTGATGGAACTCGTCTGCGCTATCGATGCAATGGTAATTTGTTTAGCCCAGTCAGCATTTTTGTTCAGCTTTATTATATTTTCTAATTTGCAACAATAACAAAGATTGTATTCCAGCAAAAAAACAGTCAATGATGGGTGGCATTCTGGAAGATAACATTTTATGGCAAATATTCTTTGTAGTCATGATGCTCAATATCAAGAGATTGAGCATTAATAATAACTAGCAGGGCCAGTGTAAGTTACATGGATTTACTAAATGCTGCATCTGTACTTTTCAGACTATGACCATTCCCAGATATTTATAAGAAGTATGAAACAAAATACTGAAATGTCTTCAACAGATCGTTAGGTTACAAAACATGATTTAAACCCTCACTACAAAAAACGCCTTTATCTGAGAGGACACTTCCAATCCTTCTCCGCAACCTCTCCCCCCTCCCTCTACATCCACCTTTCCCTCACATATGCTCAACACAGTCTCAGTTTAATAAGATTTTGATTAGAAGAACATCATCTATTTTTATTTTATAACAATGATTGCAATTATTAAAGAAATATTTAAATTTCAAAAGCTCACTTGCAGTTCAGGTTCAAATTTCTCTTCAACAGATCATTAGGTTATTAAATGCAGAATTACATTGTGGATGTAATTTTGTTAAACTCAGTAGAGGCAGTCATATATGAACAAACTCATTTTTTATTATTTTCCAATTTATTTCTCTAAAGATGTTTTCATGTCAATGGTCTGTGCTTAAATGTATTTATTTGCAAATAGATGTCCTTTTATTAAGTTGATGCAAAAGTTCAGAGCCCCATCTTCTGCCCAGTGTTAGGGAAAATCTTAGTGTATTTGATGTTTACATAGCTATTTATGACACGGGTAATCTGTCAACTCTGGTATTGCTTATAAGCTATTGGAAAAATTCTATAACTAAATTGATTTGTTTTTTACAGTTTATCAACCCATTGCAGCTTATTTAAAGACAAAATATTTTTTAGATTGCAAGAATGTTTTAGAGATAATGATTTATTGATACAAATTAACCCATAGCTAGGGAGCAGGAGAGGTGGATTCATGCCTTTCTCAATGGTATTTATTTGCCGGTAAATGAATATATCTAAAGCTCAAAAAATGGATTCTACATTGGTTCACAGAAAGCACATTGGCTGACATTTAGAAATTTGTCTATATGTCTGCAACGAAGTAGTGCAACTATTTACATGATTTGAACTGTTGTTCCCGTCTTTATTGCCATATTCACTGCGTTTTTTTTGCCATTGTATGCTCCGGCCTCCTTCAGGTGATATATGTTGGAATTTTGAACTGAAGTCTATGGAAATAAAACCATCTACCTCCATGAACGAAATAACATGTTTGGTTTGAATTTCCAATGCATATCACCTGAGTAAGGCTGGAGTGTACAACAGCCAAAATATGGGCAATAATAATGGCAACAGTCCAAATAGTGTAAATATTTAGAAATATGTCTTCTTGCTTGATAAAAACTGTTTTTAAGCAAGAGAGTCACCTGTGATAAATTAATTTCTTATGAGAATCCAAAATTAAGAAATGAACAAAATTTCAAGGATGGCTTCAGGAGAGCTTTTCAACATCTCATGGTATTTGCTTGAGTCATAAGTAATTTCCGTTTTGGGGGATCCGTTATAATGATAAATCTATCATACTAGCTATTAATTTTGTGTGTCAGATTAGAATATATTTCAAGTACCTTAATATACCTTTGTTTTTGCTGAGTAATGGCAGTGTATACAGTGGATTAAAGGAAAAATGTTGTTCTCTTCCATGGCTACACAAGGGCTGCATAGAGCTAGAATAATGCAGGAAGAAAATTTGGAACTGAGTTGTTCTGTTCAAACCTATGCTCTAATAATCTGACCTTGCCAGTTATTGCCTTTTTTTTTTTTCAATTGCAGCAAAACATTTTAATAGGAAAAGCTTTCCCTAATGAAAACCAGATCCAAAAATTAGTCGGAAACAGTTTCATATCAAAACCGACAGAATTTTATTCAAAAGGCACCAAAGAGCTGCCTGATGGTGAATATACAGGGTGTTAAAAATCTGCTCGCTCTTTAAATGACAATAATTGCAGTGTTTATTGATTTGAAAATAAGATTAACAGTTTAAATTAAATATTTCATTTGAATTGGGGGGGGGGAGTCAAAAGTGAGTACGGGGGGGGGGCACACTGTATAGAAGAATTTCATAAAATGCCTTAGCAAGAAACTTAGATTTTGAAGATATTAAAATTGGATTTTGCTGCTTACAAAATAAATAAATTTTCATCTAATAAGATTGTTTTAAATATTTATGGACAAAATTTATTTATATATATGACATTGAAGTCAACTCCTAGGTGTGAAAATCTGTTTCTTGTTAAATGCAGCCGTTAAGCTTGACAATTGCGTTTAGCATGAGACAGACTGTCGGCTCTGGGTGTTGACTTCAGTGTCCACTTTTATATTTACATACACTGTGTCCGTGTTACTGGGCACTTTGACTCATAAATATAGCATATCTTAAAACTACATTTTGTCCTCTGTGTGTATGTATATGTGTGTGTGTATATATATATATATACACACACACACACACACAACAAATATATATGTAAATGTCTTTTTATCTTTTTTATCTTTTGCTTAAACATACTTTCTATTCATTCAGCTAAAGAAAAGCAAATTAATGATATTTGTGTTTATTTTTTAGGTTTCTGGGCTTTTGTGCTGACTCTTGTTCTGTTTGCAGTTGGAGTATATATGCAACTGCCACTCACAATGGTCTATGACAAACTTTTCCCTCTGATGATCTCTTCAATGATTTTCAGTCTTGTGTTCAGCCTCTTTTGCTACATCAAGTCACGAAGAGCTCCTGTTACAGCCCTTGCAGCAGGCGGCAACACTGGTAAGCACAAACTGGGTATTACTCTCATATTTTAATGCTTTGGAACTGGAATTGGGCCCATCAAGTTTATTCCTTTTAGTCTTTTTTTTTTTTTTTTTTTTTTTGTGTTAGCATTAATACTACCCAGATTAGGTCATCTACTATTGAAGTAGTTCTTGTAGTGATTTCAGTCCTCATTCATTATCTGGTTTATTATCTTGGCTGCAATTGTTGAACCAAACTATACATAACCTTTTCCACAGTACATTATGTTTTTGTTTAAAGTATTGAGGGTGCCTTCTTGGATCTAGACCTGATTTTCTCTGATTGGGATTGTCATAATCCCACCCATGACTCTTGTATGCAAATGACCAATATTTCTTTCCCCGAATTTATTAGAACCTTTTTCTTCAGTCGTGTAAATGGTGTTCTATTGACTGATTTTGTGACTTTATCTTGATCTCAAATGTTTCTGTTTTATGCCTGGCAGATGGGGTCTTCTGAAGTTGGGTTTTCTAACTATCAAAGACATCCAAGAGTACAAATAAGCAAAAGAAATCATTTGGGGTCAAGCCACAATAAAACCGAATATTGATGATTTCCAGTTGATCTATATAAGCAGCCTCATTTGGGATTGAGGGACTCAGTTCTGGTCTGCCCTTGGTAGAGGACAGACTGTCCCTTGTATAGTTCTGATGCTACTCATTTATGTTGCCAGCAACACAGTGTGATGTGTAGAGAGGCAAAAAGTTGATAGGAGGGAAGAGGTGTGCTGTTAGACTGAATGGCCAAAGTTGTCTTGCATGTCACCTGCCTACCTACCCACACCAAACAAGCAAAACCCTGAATAAAACAGCTATATGTATAAAAAGCAGGGTTTGAGTTCTCCTTTCTTGATGTGGTACTTGTTTTCATCTTTTGTTTCCTTGTGAAAATGCAATGAGCCTTTCCCAATTTTTGATGCACACCAAAGTGAACAAGAATACTCACAATATGCGCTAGTCATTGGCTGGGCGGGGGTCTTGTTTACAAGTAATAAAGTGTTGAGTAAAGTTTAGACATTTCTAAAATTTCTTTAACATTGTTTTCAGAACAGCATTGGTAATTTTTACATGTACCTATTAACTAAAATGTGTCTCGTCTCATCTTTCTCTCTTGTCCAATCAATTGTGTATTTTGGAAAAGATGAAAGCAAAACTGAGACCAATTTAATTGTCATCAAATTTATATTAATACTGAAAATTAAATTTGAGGTTTTTTTTTTTTTGTTTTTTTTTTTACATTTGCATCCTAATGGTGAATTAGCTCTGTAATTTCAATAGACTCAAAGAACTGTGCTCTGGATTTTCCACATGAAATATTGGACATATATTTACAGACAAAACAAAACAAGAATTTTTTTTCTCTGCAATGAAGAGTAAACCTAAAAACAATACAATTTCTGATTTTCCATTCATTCATGGGAAATTCAGTTCTCCACAGCTAAATAACAAAACTAATCATGAGAGGAACTCCTAAATTTGCTGAAAGAGCTCAAATTGTTGCTATTCCAACATTTTCCTCAATTTATCATCATTGATGATACTGGTGTATCTTCCAAGGTGCATTTAAAGTATTCTCATCTCTAGTGAAATTTCTTGAAATCCTGTTTGTATTCATTCTCTTAATGGTTCCATATACAAATACCAATTGAAATAATCTATTGGGAGAACAAAATTATATATATATATATGTGAGTAGTGTGTGTGTGTGCGTGCACGCATCTGATGTTTTGGCGGGTATTTAACAAAAAATCAAAAATTGCTTTTTTTCACTGCAAATTATTCATTATATCATATCAAAGTATTTTACAGAAAATTAGAGACAATTACACAATATTTTCAAACTCAATTTAAGTTTATAGTTCGTAGCCATGCAATGAGATGAGGTAACATAAACCGTAGATTTGTCAGCAGAATAGCATTACATTATTGTTACATAATTATAGTGAAATCATTAGTTTTTTTTTTTTTTTTTTTTTGTCAAAAGCATTTTTATTTTTAATCATATATTAATTTAAAGTATTCCTTTTTACAGGCTTTATTTTTGAAATGGAATAAGATCATTGTAAATTTCGTAATTTTGCTATTGCTTATCAAAATTACCGAAGAAAACTATCTAAATACAACAATGGAAAGGAGGTAGTAAAATGTAAATAGCTCCAATTTTGTTCAACTTAGAAAATTTAGCATTGCAGCCAAAGTATTCTAAAATGCTGCCAATAACAAAGGAAAAAATGAACAAGACGAAATCGAATATAGCATCAAAATTTATATTATTTTTATTTATTTGTTATGTAACTAAATACTTAATTGTCAACAATGTTTCTGCAAAACTTGATATTTCCTGTAATAAATTCTGAAATATTATTGTTATTATTTTACTTAAGTGTAAGGTAGTCCTATATTATGGTTAACCATGAAAAATGTTGATCAAAACTGCCTAAAACTTTTAAACGCATATTGCCACAAGATTATCAAATGTTGAATACACCTATCACTCCCACACCACTCCTCTACCGAATGTGTCATATATCTATAAAAAGGGAATATGAATGAAGACAAAATGAAAACTTCTTTTATTGACGTGTTTCATCCTATGATGGACTTTATTGAAGCAAATATAAGGATTTTATTTTGCCTAGTTAGGTGGATGATCTTTTTGATATGCAGCTGGTATAATGAATAATGGCTTGGAATTGTTATTCAGAAAACCAATTTTCAATTCCCATTGTGTTTATTATATTCACTTATGTGCAGATAGCCTTGTGAAATGTATAAAGCCACTTCTTTTCCTCCTAGCAATGGGTTATTAGAACTTGTGTGACTAAACCATTATCACCAAAAAAAAATTACAATCTAAAAATATTTTCTGGCTTTAAATAACCTACAAAGGGTTGATAAGCAATAGAAAATGAATGAATCAATCATAAACAGGAGTAAAAAATATTGTTAGGTTTTCAAAATCTTCAAATTTAAAAATGCTCACAAAAACTCAAGGCTCCATCCTAGGCCCCACTCTATTCCTTATCTACATAAATGACCTTCCCGACGCCGTAACTTCCCAAGTAGGCATCTACGCAGATGACACCACAATTTATTCCTGCCTCAAAAACAAATCTAGTCTCGCTGACAAAACTCACCTTGTCGTATGCCCTCAAAAGGACCTCCAATCGATTGAACTGGGGCATGAATTGGCTGGTCAACTTCAACGCTTCAAGACAAAACTGCTCTCTATTAATCACCACAGAGAGCTTTCCTTCCTCCATTAGAATGTCTGACGCTCAACTTCTCGAGAGCAACTCTCTGCGGCTTCTCGGTCTCACATTGACTGCTGGCCTGAGATGGAATAAATACATCGAGTCTATTGCCTCGTCCACTGCGAGGAAAGTTGGCTCCCTGAGCCGCTAGGAAGTTTTTTTCCCTGAGTCGATCCTCCAGCTATACAAATCCACAATTAAGCCCTTGCATGGCGTGTTGCTGCCATATATGGTCTGGCACCCTTCTGTCTGCCTCGGGGTTCTTGATAGGCTCCAGAGGCGGATATGCAATGTGGTTGGCCCTGCCCTGGCGTCTCGTCTACAGTCACTTTCTCACAGACGTGCCGTCGCCTCCCTCTGTCTGTTCTACAAATACTTTCATGGAAATTGCTCCGAGGAGCTGCATTCGCTGGTTCCCAGACATCATGAGTTCCAGCGCCCTACGAGGCTGGCATCCCGCTCTCACCCCCTCACTGTCGAAACTCCTAAATGTAGCCGTCTCTTCTACTCTAATAGCTTCATGTCTCGCACCTCTCGCCTGTGGAACTCCCTTCCCTTCTCCTGTTTCCCTGTGAGCTATAATCTCTAGCTATTCAACTCCGGTTGCGTTGATATATCCACTACCCTCATCCTTTCTTCTATCACTCCTATCTGATCTTGCTATTTCCTGTAACCCCTTGCATCCTAGTGGCTTCCCGCCTTGCTTGGGGTGAAACGCTTAAAAAAAAAAAAAAATATTCCCCAAACTAACTCAAAATCAAGGTAAATTATGGAGGGTGCTAAGTGATGTAATTTAATGAAAGTGAGCAAATGATATTGCTGTTTTTTTTTTTTTTTTTTTGTTAATTAATTAATTTATGTATCTATTTTAAATAATAAAAAGTTCTGATTAATTTTGCTTTTAATTTTTGAAAATTTTTATGGCAGTGTATGTTGGCTTAACTTTTCCACACCTTCTCATAAAACCTCCTTTTCCCTTTTAATTTGCTTATCTTACAAGTAATTTTCTTTCTTTTTAGGTAATGTCCTCTACGATTTTTTTATGGGTCATGAACTGAACCCACGTATTGGGCCATTGGATTTTAAAATCTTTTTTTCTCTGCGAATGAGTTTGATTACCTGGTTAGTCATCAATTTGTGTTTCATCCTGAAAGCCAATCAAGATGCTGGCGGCTGCCCTCCAGCATTGATTGCTGTAACTATTTTCCAAGGCTTATATGCTGCTGATGCTTTATGGTTTGAGGTGAGCTGGTTTTTACATTTTCTTGTCATATTGATAATGAATTGTAGATTATTGGCTATTGAATTTTTCTTCAATTTAATTGTCTATATCATTTGAATAATAAAAACATACTCAACAACTTTTGTCACCATCATTGAAGATACAACCATACTCTCCAGAAAATGCAAAATAAAAGGGAGATAATTCATGGTCAATTCATTTGAGTTTGCTGGAAACATACCAGATATACTGCTGGCCATAGCTATGCTGTTGATCAAACTATATATCCATTTACTGTAGTGAAAAAGAACAGTTGTATTTAAAATAAAACACAATTTTGATAAAACTGATGTTTTACTTAACTGTATCCAATAATAATGCATGTAATATTCACATATTGTATTATAAAATAGTGACTATACATTTTTTCCATTGTTTATGTTGGTAAGATGATTAGCTGTTTCTTGTTTGGTTGTTTATGACTATGCATTTACACAATCAGTGTAGTGTTACTAAATGATACTTTTATCATTCTTTTTTACTTATTTAACTTGAAGATGGGATAAAGAGATAGAAGGAAAGAGGTTAGTCTATTGTAATTTGGTCTCAAAAAAGGAACTCACATGATACATGAGATACATGAAAAATCGTTTTTTATAAGTGAAAATTTGGGGGCTGCACAATACGAGATCACGCATTATATGAGTATAGATGGTGCGTATGTGTGTGCATATACATGTGTGTGTGTGTGTGTAATAATCTAAAAAAGAAACAATTATTTACATTAGAGCATTGTCTGACATTCTTATACAGGTAAGCATAGAGATTTCTAATGAAGCCATTATAAGTGCTTCTATTCTTGGGGAAATAGTTTCTTTTTTTTTTTATTGCCCTCTGCCTCACCGGTCGATGTTTTGTTTAGTTTTATTGGCAGATTTATTGTTATAAATTGTTACTTTTGATTTAATTTTCAGGAAGCCTTTCTGACAACACTGGACATTCTTTATGATGGTTTTGGATTTATGTCGGCCTTTGGAAATCTTGTCTATGTTCCTTTCCTTTACTCCCTGCAAGGTCTTTACTTGGTTCGACACAAAGTGGCTTTACCCTATTATATATTGGCAGTGATCACATTTTTAAATGGTGAGTTACTTTCTCAATTGTATCTTGATCCCAATGTCATGGTTTCTGAAGATTTTTCTTTAAATTTCTTAAATGAATCATTGCCAGTTTATTAATTTTTATCTTGTATTACTTCACTTGCAACACTTGTATTATTTCAAACTTTTGTTCCCATCTTGATTGTTATGGACACATTTTAGCCAAGTGCCCTCTGGCAATCATCAGGTGTTTTATCCTGCCATGATGTCAAAGCCAACTGACAGTGAACATCAAAACCATATACCACTGATGTCCTAGTTAGTTGGTATAGGGGGAGATTAAATGTGTGTTAGTCATCTGGCTGTTGTGAGTTCAATCTTTGGATCGGGTAAGGAAGCACAGGCTCAGCAGGAACAAACAATGGCTGGCATCATGAGGATAAAATAACACAATCAACAGATATTCCATATCAGCCAAACTGTACACCCGATGATGGTCAGAGTGTAGTCGAAACATTATGTCTGTAAAAGCAATCAAGATGAGAACAGTAGTTTAATAACAGATCTTGACCCTTTTTCTGCAACCACTAAATAAACTATAAATTGAAAATATGTTTCTGGTAAAATGAGGGTTGGGGTGGGAGCAGTACCTTATCAATTATGCCATGATGTTTTTACCAACTGCTCCAAAAAAAAGCAATAGTGCTATTTTATATTCCTCCAACTTAGTCTGTACTGCAGGGTATGCTATCAAAACTAAAAATGATGACTCCCATGAGAAATTGCTGTCAGAGTTTTTATGGTCATTTATTACCTGTAAATGGTAATATCCTTGTGGGTGAGGTTCCAAAACAGGCCAGTGCAGTCAGTCTATAAGAGTACAACAAATCTGAGGATTGCAATAAAAACCAGTAAAAATAAAAATAAATATTTGAAGATTATTCATGGAGACTAAAATTGTGTTACTGGTTCAGATACAGTGACCTGAAATAAGAGTATTTTGTATGAAATGGCATTTTTCCAATGTGTTTTGTTTTGTTGGATTAGGACATTTATTTCTTCTGTGCATTTCTCATTTTTTGACAAGAATTAAGTGTTAAAGTGGGGTCAAGTTGCATGGTTCTAAAATGAGGGATCGGTATAATGCCAAATTTTATGTCCACTTTTATGAGTACAAATGTTTGTTTTAATGTGTTGATTGAAAGTAAAATGGGACATTGATTCTGCACCTGGTTTCTCAAATAAAGTGGAACAAAATCCAAATAGACAGGCATAAAAACAATAAGAATGCAGAAAAGGGGAAAACGTCTAATTGGAATAAAATTAATATTTGAGAAACATCACACAAAAGAACATTTATTTTAAGAAAGATATAAGTATATTTTTAAATATAAAAAACAAATTAAAATAAATGTTCCTAGAATTGGTCTACAATTTATGTATTAAGCACTATTTTTAAATTGGCTAACACTGATTAATTTTAGGATAGGTTTTGCCACATGATTGATTCAAATGAATGAGGAGAGAGATGTGTGTGTGTGTATAAATTTAATATGCACACACGCAGTGCCTCAAAAGAATGTATACACATTTTGAAGATTTCTCAAGAAATAATTCAAGCAACTATATCTAATCTATATTAACTGTCATTTCATGTTTTCAAATTGATGTCTGTTATGATCCAGTCATTGCCGGCAATGCAATGCAAGTGGAATCACAAGCTGCAATCAGCATTTGAACTTCGACTGCATTTTTGTACTCCCAGTAGCATTTCATTTCAGGATGAATTTTCTTTGTTCAAAGCTAAGCCTGGATGACATTAGTAATACTAGTGTGTAAATCTGAAAAGGTTTTTTTGTTTTTACTGACACAAAATTAGGTTACACTACATACACAGGTAGAAAATCAGGGTCCAATTTTTCATTCAGTTCACTCATTACATTGAATATCATCAGTTAACTTGATGTTTCACAAAAATGAATTTAAAAAAAAAAAAAGCACTTTAGGAAAATATATTTTATTGAAAACAAGGCAGAGCAAACCATTTATTTTTTTTTTATTTTTTTATTTTTCTCCCTCCTCCAAGGAAGGCTATAATGCCACTAACATGCAGTGGGATATACTGGGAGTGAAAAGGAGACTTTAGAGGGTATGGGAAACCTGAATCCTAAACATGAAACCCAGGAGAAAGCTCCACACCTGTTCAAAAGTTTGGAGGAATTTAGAGGGGACCAGAAACACAATCCTAAACAGGAAACATATTATACCTTTCAAAAAAGCAGGGAAAAGTGTGGGCCCGACAACAGTTACTTTAGTTAATTGGCTTTGATTGATTTTATTTTTTGCATGTGTGTGCGTGTGATACCCACAATATATAGGCTTTTCAGTACCTAACATTTGTTTAAATATCTAGGGAGAAAAGTGCATTTATTTGTCATAAATTGGTTAAAGTTTCTGCCTTTTTTATATTTTTTAGTGAATTATGCATAATTGTTCAAGTTGAAACATCAAATTATAAATTTTAAGACTTTCCATCACAAGAAATGTGCATAGTTGTGGCTAGTTTTGTAAACTACACTTTGCCCATATTGCTCCAGTACCTCCTCCATTATCCAATTACTGAGAGAGGGGTTGAAAAAATACATTTAGATAATTCAGTATTCTGGATAATTGAATACATAAATTATCAATAAAAGAATATAGAAAACATTTGTTATCACAAAATATTTGCAAATGCTTTGTTGTAGGTTTTAACCAGTTTAATTTGTACAAAAAGATGTTTTTTTTTTTTCCTGTATATGCATGTCTAAAAGTTGTGTAAGCCATAATCTTGTGTGACCAAGCTGTGATAAATTCAAATGTATGTTCCTTGTATGAAAAGAACAAGGGAATTTACAAGAATTAATTGAACAGATTTTATCACTGTTTTTATTGAACGCTGAATATGGTTATATAAATTCTTAAAATGCTTGTCTGAGATGAAATGTTAGAATGGGTTTAGTTCAGATAACTGAGGAATGTTTGGATGATTTGAATTTTTCTCATTATTTCACATCCAGGTGATTAAAGTCCGAAAAGTTGAGGTACAGATAATCAAGGAAGCGCTAGAAATGAATTGCAACATGTCAATTTTTAGACTTACCATTGTTAACTTTAATGTTTTCTAAATTTTACGAACTAAGAAATTCCTGTGAAAAATAATGATTGCATATTAGCATTAATGCCTGAAATAAATCCCAAAGTAGTAAAAATTTCATTTTTAAGGCTCTAGTTGCACATGCAAGGTAGATAGTTTTAAACAGTATTGTTTTGAGTGCAAGGAAATAGTTTTATGTTGCCTGATTTGCTTTTGTCTTTCAGTTGTTGGTTATGTCATATTCCGAGGATCCAATTCGCAGAAGAATGAATTCAGACGAGATCCATTCAAGCCTAGCATGGCTCGTGAGTTGATTTTCCTATTGCTCATCACTACTTATTCCCCTCCTGTAGGGCTAAGGATTTGTGTGTTTGTATTTAATATATCATTAACTCGTGTCTTGTGAGTGAAATTGCGTTGATGGATCTGTTCATCGACTGTTGGGGGCTGTGCTAGCACAAAGTCACAAGTCGTGACTGAGGTTTTGAATGTACTGGGCTTGTTCAAATGGTATAATTTGGTGACCGTCAATGTTTGCATCAAAATTTCTGCATCTGAACTTTGTGAACCAATTTTGGACACATGCTTCTTCTTTTTTTTTTTTTTTTTTTTTTTTTTCTGCTGTTTGTGCAGTTTATTCCTTTCCAGAAATAAGAATTTTAAATGGCAAAAAATGCATCTCCTTTCCCTGCTTTTTTCACTTTCACATAAAAAATATTGTAAATTCATGATTCATGCGAGTGATTATAGAAAGGTCATCCTTCAGAACTGTAACATAAATATCAGTCACATGGGAAGTTAAATGACAAATTGAAATGGCGCCAATTGTAAAAAAAAAGTTTTGTTTTGACCATATATATTGGGTGGGAGCATGGTCTGTTATTTAATTTCTATTTATATTTCTCCAATTTTCAAATAAGTTGTATCCGAGGTGGTACTTATACCAGGTTTAACAACTATGCAACTGCTGTCCACAACTGGGGTCGGACTTAAATAACAATTAGTGAGGATGATTTTACCAAGGGACATGTTAGTGATGTCCAGTATTTAGTTAACTAAGAACTATATATAATATTAGAAAGCAACTTACAATTATTGACGTCCATAAATGCAAATGTACAAAGAAAGAACAAAAATACCATAAAATAACTAGGTGTCTTGAGATATTGCCTTTAACTATCTTCCTCGCTCATTCTGATCTTGGGGAAGACAAAATATACAAACCTTATTTTGTTAATCTTAGTTACCACAACAACCTATTAAACAGCTTTTTTTTTTCTATTACCCTTTTAAGAAAGATTTTAGAGTACTGAAATTAAAAAGTATTAACACTAAAGTATTATTTTGTAAAAATTACATGGTGTTTTTAAAAAGTGTATGAACCTTATATTTTAAGGTCTGGAGAGTTTAGAATTTAGAAATAAGAATTTAAAGTTTGTATGAATGTGGGAATATGTATGTTACTTTCCATTGTCTTTAAGGAATTACATGGTTGCAAACGATTTCCAAATTGTTTCACTGTTCAGGATCTGTTTTTATGTTGTTATATAGCAGACTGAACCTCCCTCATTAAAATTTTTGGATAATCATATTTTATGGGGGTGCCGATCAATCACCTCACCCCTCATAAAATATGATTATCTAAACAAAATTAACTGGTTTAATATTTTTTATTCACATTTTTTTTCAAATGCACAAATTTCTGTTATAAGTAATTTTAGAAAATTCGCAGTGCAAAAAAAGTTAAATTGATGGGTGGGGGATTGATTTCAAGGACAGTATCAACGTAATTCACATGTTATAAAGAAAACAAATTATTCCTTAAAAAATTAATTTTATAATCAAGATATTCATTATTATGAAGAATAGTAGTATAAAGAAAAAAATTAAATTAACTTTCCATGACAAAATTCTTAATAATGACACTTTTTTTGTGAATTTTGCAGTTTATAATTGCAAAAATGTAAAAAAAAAAAGAGAAAGATGATATTGACATGACCAGGAACGTCTTACATTTTTGTGGTATATTTTTTAAGAATAGTTGTAAAATATTAATAAATTTATTGAATTTTTGACATTAATTATGTCATAAATTCTTGAATAAGTGTTATTTTTCATTAATTTTGCAGTGAAAAACATTTTAATGTCTTCTATTTATTTATGAAGGACAGAAAAATTCAACATTGGTTAAATACATGTTCTATTAAAGAAAAAGTAAATTATTCACAAAAAATTAATTTCATGAATTCCTAATTTACACCAGAAAGGTTTGTTTAAAGATAAAATATGAAAGTTAAAATAAATAAATTTTATACTTTAGTATCTTAAATAATAAAGTCAATTCCAATGGTAAAAAGTAAAAAATTTGTTTAAAAAATTAATTTCTTAATCCAATTCCAGCAACAAACTTTCATGTGTTAACTGTTTGCTCCCAGTCGCTCACCAGTCAGCATGGTGTAGAGGCCTGGTATAAGGATCACTTTGGTTGTATTTCAGCAGTTCAAAACACTATATTTCAAATTTAAATATACATGTATAAGTGACATCATGTGTAGAATGATTTCACTGAGTCTGACAACACCAGCAAACAAATGCTTTAAATTTCTGTTATGAAAGATATGGATTTTTTTTTTTTTTTAATTCTTTTTGAGAATTTTTTGAGTCATTTGTTACTGCAAGGGAGCACAGTATATTTTGGTATTCTCAATACTTTTACTTTGTTTTTTTTTTTGTGATGTAATACACAAATTCAACAAAGTGATAGTGATGGTCAAGTAAAATGTTCAGGGTTTAACATTAACTTAATGCAAAAAGAAATAAGAGCTTATACATAATTCAAAGGTTAATTCAGTAAGACCTAACCTTTTAAGACACTTATGTATATACTCAGAAAATTCTAGGTGCTTCTTTATTTTTATCTTATTTATTTTCTAACAAAAAGCAAGAATAATGAAAATAAGAGTAAATCTTAATCAAAATGATTGACATGTTTTCATCTAATAAAAAATTAAGATGAAAGTAAATTCTTGACAAATTTAACAGTAATGATTGATATTGCTTTAACTAAGAAAAATTAAAAGTTGTTGGTTGTACTACTGGTGTAAATGCAAAAACCAAACTTGACACCAAGAGACACTGTGTAATGGTGTTAGGACTTATAATTCAGATTTTATCTTCTGCAGTCATCAAGTTCTTGTAGACTAGTGGTAGAGCAGTTCAGAATCCTAATTCAGTAGGGTTCCCTGAAACAAAAAGGACGTATTCAAATCTCACCAAGAGCATATTTATTTTTTATCCTAAACTGTTTGATGGCTTAAAAAAAACTTGTGATAAAAGCAACTCAATAAATAAAAAAGAAAGAGAATTATTGATCTTTATTTATTTATTTATTTATTTTTAAAATTCAGACACTTTAATCTATACATTTTGATCATGGAAATGTATAATCATCTTGTTTTACTCGTATGAACTCAAATGCAGTTAACTCAAAAATGGCGCCATTAGTAGTGATGGAAGTCATTTGAGAGTTACTTCCCTTAGAAAGATAAATACTTTTGAATGGCTTATTTGTACAATTTGCAAAGAAACCTTTTTTTTTTTCTTTCAACTTATGTTTTTTTTGTTTTTTTTTTTAACTATATTAAGGTAATTTCAAAATTATTCTAAATAGTATTAGCTATTCTATTTTTCTTTTGTAACACAGATGTGAAAAAAATGTGATTATATGTATAAATATTGTGTACTTGTAAATATAAGTACACAATTGTTGACATCAGTAATTGTCTTTGTTCCCTTTTTTTTTTTTTTTTTTTTTTTTTCTTCTTCTTCTTCATTCTATACTTCAGAAAACAATAATTTCATTATTCTTCCTTGTTTCAGACCTTGACAGCATCCCTACAATCAGTGGTAAACGTTTATTAGTTTCCGGTTGGTGGAAACTTTGCCGGAAGCCAAATTATCTTGGAGATATCATTATGGCTGTTGCCTGGTCTCTGACTTGTGGTAAGTAGACAGTTGTTCTTGTAAATACTATTTAACTATTTTTAGTATGGCACTGGTAAATATGTTCTTAACTATTTGAAGTATGATAATAATATAATAATTACAGAGTCAAAGAAACTTAACTAAGCCATTAGGAAATTAATTAGTAATGAAAACAAGTCATGGTATAAACTAATAGAATATCACCCAAAAATACACAAACTTTATGAGCTCCCTAAGACCCAGGAAGCAGGCATTTTGATACACTCCATTTTATCAGGTATTGGAAGTGTTCACCACAAACTCATGAAAGCCATAGCAAAAATTTTAACACTTCTCCTTGGAACAGTTAGCCCCATCATGTTAAATATATGAATACATTTTAGATATGTGTATGTGCTCCTTTTTAATTTAAAATTGATTTATTTTTCTTCCTGTTCTTCCAGGATTTGGTAGCATTGTCCCTTATTTTTATCCTATCTTCATCACCATCTTCTTGATCCACCGGGAACGCCGAGATGCTGCAAACTGTCAGCAAAAACATGGTGTCAGCTGGGAACGGTACTGCAGTGCTGTCAAGTACCGGATATTCCCTTACATCTACTGAGAGGACTCAACTTGACTCTTTGGAAAGCATCTACCACAGCCTCTTCAACACGACTTGCTGTATGAATATGGAGCATGCCACGTGCATGTTAGAATAGCCAGCTGGCCTCAGGCTCATTTTAATTGTACATTGCCTGTCTCTCTCTTTCTCTCTCTATCTTTTTTCTTCCCCCCATTCAGTCATTAACTCAGTTTTTTCTTTAACTCATTTAATACATTTGCTCACACCACTCTTCATCAATACCATAAAATCATCTTTCATGTTATCCAATGATTGGTCATTCTAGTGAATTTTCTCTCACTCTTTCTCTCTCTTTTTAATTTTCCTTTCAAATTTATTTATTAATCTTTTTCTAAGTCTTATGGGAGGACTTTTTTTTTCTTTCTTTTTTTATTTATATTTTATTATTTTTTCTTTCTTTTCTCCAGTACTCAAATTAAGTGGCCTACTCATAAAAAAATACGGGGGTTGGGGGTAGATTCTCCATAATCCCTCACGAGCAATCATTTTTTGAAGGGTAGGGCTCCTGTTTATAATATAACTAGAGTGTCAAAAAGATCTCTGACTTCTTGTAGGCTTATCTATACTTTGTTTTTATTTACAGTTTGGAACTGTGCATTATTGATAACTGTGGACTATTACAAATTGGGAATAAGGGCAGCATCAGTAAGTAGACAGTTATTGATAACATAAGCAGTTTCAAATTTGTAATTTGTAAATAAACATAAAGTAAAGATAACTCTTTAAAAAGTTGGAGATCAATTTGACACAGTATTTATATTATGAAAAGTACTCCCCACCCTCTAAATTTTTTTTTAAATCAATTTTTTTTATTCTGCTTTGTTATGGCCTTAGAGAAGTCTAATGAATACTAATCTACTTAACCAACCCCTTTTTTTTTTTTGCGTAGAGCCGTCAATTTAAGTAGTGCCCCTTTTTTCTGTTTAAAGAAACGAAGAATACAATCACAAACTTATTTACTGTCATTTTTATATTTTTTTTTTTAATTGAATTTTCTTAGGTGTGTCTTTGCTGTTTAGAAAGTCTTGCCTTTCAAAGATCAGTGATTCCAAATCTTTTTTCTAACTGCCGCCCCCTTGGCTCCCAGGCCACATTCCAATTGCCTCCACCTACCTCCATCTACACTGTTATGAAGACCCATCTTTCTTGATATTAGGCATACTGTAAATTCAAAACCACTAATACTGTAAATAACACACATGCATTTTTGGCTTAGATGCCACCAGGTAAACATCTGTGGCTGTATCCCAACCTTACATACCTGAAGCAATGGCCTTTGCAAATGTCAGGTGTCTGATCTGGCTGGCGCGTAGCAAGTATGTTTCGGAAAACAGACAAAATACAAAAAACGCTTTGAACTTTTGACTTTAAACAACGAAATAAAATAAAACTATGCATTTGTGCATAACTCTTATGTCAATTTTATTCTTTGTAAAGCATGTGTTTCTTAAGTGTAGACGCTGTCACATCGAATTTTATTATAATTATTATTATTACTTAGTCCTAATGCTCTTCCCCCTCCTAGCTGCCCCTTTACTTTCAATGTTTCTCTTGGCCCAGGGGGGCGGTTCTGCTCACTTTGGAAATCTCGGTCATAAAGTGTTCATATTCTTTGAATAGATTCACCCACTGTGTAGACTTTGTTTTTTTTTTTAATTTGACAAGAATTGTTCTATGAACAGCTTAAAAGTATATGGCTTTGTTTTTGTATAAACAGAAAGAGAAACATGACTTTTTTTACTAAGTCTGTTTATAAAGATGATACAGATTTGAGCTAGAGAACAAGTATTATAATGTTGCATTTAATGGTCATTTTTAGAAGGGTGTTTTTCTTTTCACCATGTGAGGAGTTGAGGCTCAGAATTAAGATTAAAGGCAAGCCATTAAACTCTAGATTGTCCATCTCATGTCGGATAACCACACCTAAAGAGAATAATTTCTTTAAATTAAAAAAAGATGATATTACAAGTTTTCTATGGTCTTTTAGACTCATATCAAGAAGAAAAATAAATCATAATGGGAATTTAAAAAAAAATCCTTCATTAGAATTTGAAATGTTAATTTTTCTGTTATTGTTTGGAACAATAGAGTTTTGGCAAACATGGGTAAATGTGCCTGCAAGATGACAGTGTTAAAAGGACTGTTTTTCCCATGACATCACTCTTTTAACTACCTTTCTCTTTGCCAATGTTTATTGTTTTAAAAGGTGATGATTAGAATTGGAATAAAACAGTGGATTTATACTTTTTTTTTTTTTTTCTACAACAAAAATATTAAACACAAGTATTTATTAGATTGTTTATTTACAAGAATAATTTTATATTTGCAACATTCTAAAAACTGATACAATTAGAATTAATGTAATGCAATATTTATCAGTATCTGTCTATATTTCTGAGATGAGGTATTATGTAATGTAAATAGTGCAATATTTATCATTTACCAATTTATAAAGAAATAAATATAAAAATAATTTTTTATTCATAAATTTATAAACATTTACTAAATTGTTAAAATATGTGAACCAACTATAAGGAAGTCTCTATTATTTACCATTTTATAAAGTTTGAATCAATTGGCAATTAGCCAATGCTTTGCCAACCATTCCAGTAAACAATATGATAAATAGTGTAAATAAACTATCTAATGAATAAACAGTGTTTTTATTTTTGTTGTAAATTCTCACAAAGAAAATGTATAGATTCACTTTCACATGTTTAGGTTTTATTGCAATTCTAATCCTCAATTTTTAAGACAATAAATAATGCCAAAGAGTGAAGATGTTTTTTTTTTTTTTATATATATATATATATATATATAAAGGTATCATGGGGAAAAACCATCCCCTTAACACTCCATCTGTTTGCCAGAATTTCATTCAGAAAATAAAAAAAATATCATCACACAAATTAATTTCATCAAGCCAGTAGTCATTTATCAATGACCTTATTTGATGGCATTCTTTCCACCACCACCCCTTCAACACACTCATTTAAGCAGGGAATATGAAAAGAAGGCTGTTGAATAGCACATCAAATCTCACTGGAACTTCATCCCCCCTTTCTGACATTATCACTGTACATTTAATGAAAACATAAGGTGGAATCTCACATATGTAACATTACTGTTTATTCAATTCTGGTGTTCATCAGTTACTGTTGGCCAATGGCTTTGTGGATTCTACATTCTCACCAGGATATAAGAGACCCGCTCTTTTCCCCCTCAGGTGGGTGTTTATATATCTGCCAGTTATATTAATACAGATGGGTCGACTATGTGGTTACATGTCAAGGGCAGCCATTTACAATGAGCAAAGTGGTGATCAGCACCTGGTGGCTAGAAGGTTTTCTTTCAGGTCGACCCACTGATGCACTTGGCTTCTCTGAAGAACACTGAGTGCAAAGTCCATTTTGGCACCATCTGGGGTGAGTCACATATTACACATGTTCTTTATTTGTACCAATTCAAAACAAATTTCTTTTTGTACATTTACTGCAAATTTATGAAATTATTTAAAAAAAAAAAAAAAAAAATTTTAGCAGAAGCAGGGGGTGTCTTATATGCCATCAGATGTGGTCTGTTCTCTTATTAGTCTGTTAGTTTTCCATCTTGAATATCTTCATCAGTATTTTCATATGAACTTTTGATTTTTACTATAAATGTATTAACACATTCCATTGAAACTCTTTTGACATTTATTTTTGTCATGCTAAAGAAATAAAGAAATCTGTCAGTATTTTCACATCAAATTTACAATTGACCTCCAGTGCATCTTCTTGCTGAAATGCAAGTTTTTATACATTTACAACACATTAATACATAGGGCAGGTTGTTGAAGTCTGAATTGTTGAGTTTTAGAAACATTTTTCTCTCTGCATATTTGACCAAACATCTCCATTCCCATAATCCAAGCTCATGCTATCAGGGCAGTTGTAATTGTCAATCATCTTTTGTTATCAGAACTTATATATAAGTCTAGTCAAAATATATTATTGCCTTCTCCTGAGCTTGAATTTTTTTTGTGTGTGTGTGTGTGTCAAGAGTTAAAGTTTAATACATTTTCAATCAGCATGGTTATAATATCATAAATCTATTCTATGACTTTAATTGTTCTTATCAAAAGGGCTGCTGTCCTGTGGTGTTTTTTTGTTTGTTTGTTTTTTTTTTTTTGTTGTTTTTTTTTCTTAAGCACCTCTCATGAAACTGTAAAGTTATGGACATCCATTTTTTTTTTTAAAAAAAAAAAAATGAACAGTAATAAAAAATTTTTAAAAATTCTATTTTAAAAGCCAAAAAAAAAAACCCTCATTGTTTGTCATAAGAAAACTTTATTTCTTTTTGTCTATGATATATCTCAAATATTTTTTTTAATTTGTCATATATTTTGCGTGTCTTTTTTTATTTTTATTTTTGTTTTGTGTACTTGACATCAATTAATTCACATTGTTTTACTACAATCACATTTTTTACAGTATTTTACTTGTGCACGGCTTTAAGCATGTGAAAATTTTATATGGGCCATTTGTATCTTTTCCTGAATGTCATACTCCCTGTTGTGCCCTGAGAGTTCTCATTGAGCCCTTTCATTTGCAATTTTACCATAAACAGTCTGGCTTTATACTCATAATTCCAACAAGAAAGTATTAACTTATTTAACCTTATCAGCCCACAAAGAGATTTAGGTTGATGAATCCTTAAAATCATGACCAAATCTGAATACGGGATGTTAGTGCAATTAAACTGATATATCTGAAAAACCTATTAAAAAATCAAGGATTACAAGTTGATTTTATATGAAAGTAAATTGAATTCTCTTTCAAATAATCCAAAATTTAGCCTCCTTGTTATTTACTACCATTTGTAAAGTATGGTTTTGGCATTCTACAGCTTTGTAAAAGTTGTGGACTTCCAGCACCTCTAGTGGATCATGTTGTGAGTGTTGATGCTGCATGTTGAAATACGGTGCTGGCTGATTGAAG